CCACTACTGTCAAAATAATCAGTGGACGAGAAAACACAATTTATGACGATCAATCAATCATGATATCTGTCAATTGTGCCATACTTCACTTTTATTATGGCGTTTCTTCTTCCAGGTAGGTTAGAGAAATTAGTTGGCAGTAGTGCTCTGAGGAACAAGTCAAGAACCTTGAATTGTAGTATAAGAAACAGTAACCGGCCTTAGCATGCCCGCCGATAAATGCACAGGTGGTCATTCCAAAGCAGGTAGCGCAGAACCTCTTGGCTGTTTTTCCATATCTCTATAGGTGTTAGTTAACATTTCTGACGACGAATGTGGGAACACTCAAAGAATTGGCGGCGTATAGATCTTCTTTTAAGTGATTCATTTGAGGGATTCTCACAGAAATATGAGCCAAAACGAGTTTTTTGGACGAGATTTCGATTGAGTGCAATTGCATAAGGAATCGGCTGCAGAATCTCTATTGCCAAAAAGTGTTTTTCACTAGGGCTCAGGACGGCACACTATGATCAGCTCTCTGTGTTTCAAGCTTAAGGGCTCCATTGTGAATTGGTGAAACCCGGCCCGATCTGGGTGAGGTAAGCCTTTGGCATTTGAGCCCCCCTTAATGCCTCCTACCTACGCTGTTTCTCGACCTGAGAGTGACCCTCATTGCATCAATGCGAGCCACAGATTCGTTCCAGTGAGAAGTCTGGGGAACCATTTTCATCATGAACTGTGCCCGATCTTTTTTAAATGTTCTGCAAAGTGGGGTAGACGATGCAGCGACAAAGTGACCAAGATACTTGCAAAAAGCATTTTCTTCCAGCGGTTTAGGATCCCCACTCTAATAGATCACGATATCGTATGGGAATGCTGCTTAAGCCCGCTGTCGAAGTTTTACTGAAGAAAGGGACCCTCTGAAGGGAAAGGCCTCGTAGGAGTCGTCATTCCAAAGGGACATAATATCCAACACTATGAACAAAATACCGATCAGAGCCATCGAATATAATGATAATTTTCACACTTTCCCTCAGTGTCAAGGATGAGAGCTCGGGGTGAAGCAGAAAACTCGTCCTATTTAGTTGGATTTTTCACTCACATTGCTTGACCAGGTCACTTAGTTGAAGAGGTTTCATAAGCTTTTACATTTTTTGTATTTTCTTAAAAATAGAAAAGCATCCGGGATGGCTCAGATGCTTTTGCCTAACATCTTATCATTTTATTTTGGTCATGTGATTTGCATAGGTTCAAAAACAGTAAGCGAAAAACAATATTCTTATAGGGAAACTAAAGCATTCATATCACTGCCGCTCAGCTTCCGAAAAAGGGCATGGACTTCGAGGGGTAATGAACGATAGTGAATAAGAAATCATTGGTGTATAGGTTGGCTTGCCTCTGAAGGTTGTAAATAGTTGAGTTAAAATGAATTATTTTGATAAAAGGAAGCCGAATGCGGCGACTTCAAAAGAACTCACGAACTCTACCATTCACAACTTCCCGATAGTCATCAGAATCAATGAAAACCTCAAATAAATTTCTTGAGAATAGAAGCCTATGGGTTGGATGCGGGCTGCTGTTGGGTTTTAGGTGGAATTCCTTGAAAAATACGAGGAAATGATTTTTGGAGAGAACAATTTATTAAAAATCAGCAGACTTACCAGCAGTTAAAACCACAGGTTTTGGCATCGGGCTGTGAAATGAAGGAATGTTTCCTTATCACCTTTCATATTGCTTAGAAGCAGCTATCGCAGATTAGAGCACAGTAAGATGCATGTGTGATGTAATGCATACTTTTAAAAAACTAAACTGTTATTTCGGACCATTTCAGGAAAAAAGTGGAAGTTATCCTGATGCTTTCGGGAACCCAAGAAAAGTTTGTGCAGAAATTCGGTTCTCGATGTCAGAGTTACTGCATTAACTGGGCTCCGATAGCATCGTGTTCACAGGTTCACTCACTCTCCAGACCATTTATTTAAAGAAAAAAAGAAGTGTAGGGAGGAGCTCAGGTAACCGCAATTATCTCATCGACCCTAATGCAGTCCTTCAGAGTGGGACCACATTGATGGCCCATTATCTATTCGAAGCTGCTACACATGGGAGTGGTGATTAGAACCAGGCTAGGCCTAAAATCGAGGTGATGCCTAAATTTGTTCACAGCATTTCAACAGTGCTCCTATAGGCTAGACCATGTTATTTCTTCCATTCTCGTCCTAAAACTTTACTCTAGGGCTCATCAGTAATCCCAGTCTATCCCAGTGATATTCGAGCTCTTAAAACTGTCTCCAATGTGCTGTTAGAGACCGATGTCAACCTGTGGAGGTTGACGGAAGTCTCTGGAAATTACTTTTCTGCCTTATGCTTCTCTGGTAATTTTTTGATGTTAAGGATTGGTCCTCATAACTTCTTCTATGTAGTTTACATGCCATAAAGAGAGCATCCAATGAGATCGTTCGCAGAAGCTACGAATCTTAAAAGAAAGGACAAAACCCCAGCAGTGAAGTGTTTCGTTCCTCTGTTAAGGAACTCGAATTCGAAAAGTGCATGATCATGTGCTGATGGTAGCATTGATGCCTGACTGGAGCTGTCACTTCTACTGATAACCGGTCAAGGGTTTAAATTCTTCCGAATCGATAACCACCCAAGTCAGCCAAACCTTCCATCCCTGCAGTTCCGGTTTGTACGGTGGAACGTTCCTTGGAAAAAGCTCTGACATCATGACCCACTCACAATCAGGCATTCTTACCATTCTGAATGGAAGTCGAAGGCTTCAGCACACACCAGAACAGAATTGATCAATGTCGAATACTATACATTTATTCTTCATAAATCCTTCACTTGAATTCATTCTTCCGCTGCCACTTCATTTTTAACATTCATTCAGCAGAAACTACCCCTCAAAGGCACAGTACACGACAATTTTGAGATTTTTTAGAGTCGGAACGCGGAAGTTTGGTTGGCATTGATGCATCGGTGGTGAAGGAAGCGAGGAAGTCCACCGATTGTGCGAAAAATAATGCCCTCAAAGCAGTGAAAGTAGCGGTTGTACGAGATTACCGTGTCGAAAATATCATGGAAGGGGTATTTGGACGAGATTTCAGTTGTTGCAATTGCGCCAAGAACTGACTACATCTGACCAAAACTGTCCGAATTTACCTTTCAGAGTCGCTATGGGTCATGGCAAGTTGTTCGAACCCCCTACGTGGGATCCCTTGTGAATGGCGCAGCGCGGCGCGATGAAGCTCGTCCGTGTACCCGGGACAATATTTAAACCTCATTCAGAGCCTACTCAGATTATACAAGGGATTGGGAGGGTGATTAAGTTCATATATACATTCAGCGTTCAAGTTTGTTCCACGAATCCAGGAGAGTAGAAGGTTCGGTCTTCCCAGAGGCTTATCCTCCCACATACGCTATTTTTGAGCAATGATAGTTGATAAAGTATCACTACTATTTGTAAGTCGGGCTGAAATCTGGTCCCTTCAGGAAGACCCTCACATCAATCCTCTCCTCCAGGCCATAGGCCGACAACCTCATAGCCAGTACCTGCGCGATGTTTATTGTCGGTAAATTGCTCTCATTTATATAAATCAAAGCGAACTACATCACCGTCATCATCGTTACTTGAGACCAGGCCTCCCGAGGCTGTGGGGCTACTCTCTTTTTCATCTGCTTTTTCGGGGAGAAGGACAGATCTGCGGGAAAACGTAACGGGTCTCTATTGGCCGAAGAAGAGCAGGAGAAGCCTAAAGGCCAGGCTCCCTCTCAGTAATCTTCAAACTTGAGTGACATGCTCTTTTCTTACTCTCGTCAGTAACATTAGTAGTACTAGAGTGATTTACGGCTACTTGGCGGGCATTAACTGAACAACTCTGGCTTGACGTTTATGTCACACGAATGGGGATTTCTCGCCGTTAATACCTTTCACAATCGGTCTCTAAGAACGTTCACTTTCCATCAGAGAAGCTTTTTGTCGCTTCTCTCCTGTTATGCTACTCATAATTATGGTAATACATTAAAATTAAATATTATACATAGCTGATAATTATCTCTACAATTATTCATTGGTTCGCAAACCCACTTAGGCCTGGCGGAATGGCAGAACGAGTAGTACCGACTGCCTCCTGGGGATAAGTGCCGTTCTTCATTTCTTTTTGGCTATATGAAAATTCGATGAGGAATCCTGACTCAAAATTTACGATTGAAAGTGAATGAAATTTGTATGGCGTAGTGTTGTTCCCCATTTTCGGACTTTTTTGAAAGTCGATTTCAATGAGCTGCGGTATAAGTCGAAACAAGCCTCCATAAATGTCTTCAATGAACCACCGATTTAAGAATTCCCTCAACCAGCGCTCACAGCGTTAGTCACGTCCTGTTCGAGATCCACTTGTTGGGAAAACTCTTTTATATTGGAGCTTGCACGTGAG